CAGTGATAACAGGTCTGGGTGTGGGTGTGGGGATTATGAGGAGAGGATATCCTGAGGTGCTTTGCTGGGAAGCAAAGTTTTTAAATGCCTTCTAAATGTTAGGAGGGAAGGGGCATGGTGCACCTTCACCAGTAGTGCATTCCACCAAAGAGAAGACTAAAGGTCTCCCTTTAGGATCTAAACTGTTCAATCCACCATTTTGACTAATGCTGAAATGAACCTCTTAACATGTTTTCCTGGATGCTTCTCCTGATGCCCAGACCGTGTGTTTCTCTAGATGCACCAATGGTTGCGATCCAGGACATGTCAAGCTGATGAAGGAGGTGTCCTTAAGCACAATTCACTTGTACTCTCCCTTCTTCACTGTAAATCACACATCTGTTCTTTGTGGGGGAGAACATGGGGGTGGGTGAGCAAAATGGGAAAACAGCATCCCGTGTTATTTTGACTTCGTAGGACAAAGAGTCCAGGGTTCTTTTAGCTCAGTGGTTCTTAACCTTTGTAACTCAGATGTTTTTGTACTGCAACTCCCAGAAACCCCAGCCAGCACAGTTGGTGGTGAAGGCTTCTGGGAGTTGCAGTCCAAAATTCCTGAGTAACCCAAGGTTAAGAACCAGTGTTTTAGCTCATGACAGAGAAATTCAACTTCCCTATGTGTGGCATAACCTTCAACCAACCAGTGGGAAAAGCAGAGGATTAGATCCACTCAAACATGGCGGGAAGTTCTTCAGAAGTTTGTGATCCCCTCAGTTACAGTAATGCAGGAAGGGTTTGGGAGGGATGTCTGTTTTTGCAAGAGAATTTGAACTTGACTATAGGTACATTTCATAAGTCGGAGTGTGCAGTTTGAGTGGGAAAAGCACATTTCAAATCTAGCTTGGGTGTTATTAAACTAGCACATCCAAACATACTACAACTCTGAGTAGGATAACATGGGAAATGTTCAGGTTTCCTGGCCAGAGTCCTAGAAAGGAATACAAGACTCCTAGAGGCGAATTTAAAAAGAGTCGCTTTTCGATCTATTCTAGGAATACGGATAACCAAAATATTATTCAGAGCTTCAGAGGAACTCTTTAATAATCATATGGCACACATAGATTTATCCTCAAGCAGATATTCTCCTTGGTAGTTTCCCACCCTCCCTCCACTCCAGGTTTTTATCTTTAAAAATGTAGGTTAACAAGATATATCTGTGAAGATTCTCAGTCATGCATTCAAGGTTATCTGGAAGTTGAGTCATGGCAACTGGACTTTTTTATTAGGTTGAAACGTATTACAACTTATCCGAGTACCTTCTTCAGTCTGAGGAGAGTTGGTAGGAGACCCCTGATATATCTTCCATATTGGTTTCACTTCACCCTGGTCTAAATATGCTCCTTAGATGGACAAAGGACTGGGGGTGAGGGATAATCCCACTTTTGCAATCCTTCTCCACTCATTGTCTTGGATCGCTAACAGTTGTTAATAGTGGTCTTTCTTGTGTGTGTGGTCCTAATTTTTCAGGAAATGTTTCAATACTCATCCAAGTAGCTTCTTCAGTCTGAGAGTTGGTAGGAGATCCCTGATCTATCCTCCACATTGGTTTCAATGTGGTCTGGATCTGGTCTGAATCTGCGGGATCTGAAGGCCTTAGGAACAGACCCCAACAGATGGGAAACCTTGACATCTGAGCGTTCAGCCTGGAGGCAGGCGTTGCATCACAGCCTCTCCCAATTTGAAGAGACCCTTGTACAGCAGGCCGAGGCAAGGAGACAGTCCTGAAACTAGCTAAATCAGGGAGCTGGACAGGGGAGAGATTGTATTTATCTTCAGTGTGGAAGGAAATGTCACTCTCAAACTGGCCTTCTCAGCCACACTAGACATGGCTGAGAAGGTTACCATATTTATTTTATTTTATTTATTTATTTGATTTATATCCCGCTCATCTGGTGTATTTATACCACTCTGAATGGCTAACAACAAAATATATACAACTATAATATAAAACCAAAACATCGGATGATTAACAAAACATACCAAAAATCATAAATGATAGATAGATAAGGAAGAGAAGATTAAAATTAAATTAGATTAAATGCTGGCGGGAGGGAAGGCCATAAAGCCATGTTTTTAGTTGGATTTTAAATGTACCCAGTGTAGGGGCCGCGCGGATCTGAGGAGGGAGATTGTTTCAAAGGCGAGGAGCCACCGCCATAGTCTCTCAAGACTGAAGGATGCCTACTCATTGGTCTGAACAGGTTTGTTAGATGGACACAGGGAGGTGTGGTGGTGAGTGAAAGTTGATTTGAAAATACTTGAACATTTGACATACAGTGGTGCCTCACACAGCGAGGGTTAATCCGTTCCGGATTAACCCTCGCTGTGTGAAACATCGCTGTACGGAATGTAAAAGCCCATTGGAACACATTAAACAGCGTTTAATGCGTTCCAATCGGCAGGTTTCATTACCTTGCAAAGGAAGACTAGCCAGAAAGCTATCCCACCCAGCCAGTGAAGGACATTTGGGGAGTTGGAGGCTATGAGCAAGCCCATAAAAGCCTTCAGCCCATTGTTCTGGACAGTCAAGGTGACTCTCCTAGACAAATCACAATCACTCCTTCCATTCTGTATATTCCCTTTCCCATTTGGGGTCGGGATCTCTTGAAAAAGGTGGATGCAAAATTGCAGACAAATTTATAATCCAAAGGAAGGGGTGGTGGTGAGTGAAAGTCGATTTAAAAATCCCTGAACATTTGACATACTTTGAAAATCCTAATATGGGAGCTAGAAGTGACTTAACCAAGTGCAGGATAGCCAATGGGACAGAAAGGCAATGCATCCCAGAACATATGATGATAGATTTCTATTGCTAGACAGACATATGGATATAGGGATGGAGCTCAACATTGCCTGCATACCAGTGGCAGTATGTCTGGTTGTTCCGAGGTCCCTCCTTCAAGAACACTATGACAGATTTTGAGTGTAGGGTGTGGAGAGGCACACTGTTTAGAATGACAAGCTTTCCCTGTTCTCCTTTTTTAATCTCCAGTACTCCCAATACTCTGAGGCATTGGGGATGCTTTAAAGCAGGGTTCCCCAACCTTGGGCCTCCAGATGTTCTTGGACTTCAGCTCCAAGAAATCCTGGCCAGCAGAGGTGGTGGTGAAGGCTTCTGGGAGTTGTAGTCCAAGAACATCTGGAGGCCCAAGGTTGGGGACCACTGCTTTAAAGGGTATTTCCGTACTCCAGACATTTTTACATCCCTCTTCCTAGCTGGGATCCAGTGTGGTGCAGTGCACAGAGTGTGGGAATAGGATTAAAGAGATATGGGTTCCAATTCCCAATCAGCCATGGAAAAGTCATTGCGGCATGGCAAAGGTAGAACATCTCATGCCTCTAGAAACCTATGAGGGTGGGCATAAGATGGAAGGGACTTCATGACACGTAACAAGAACCCTCAGAGAGAGCCTTGAAGGCCCAGAGCAATTCCCATGGGGCAGCAAAGTGCTCCATCCCAAGATACAGGTCAAATGTATGTTGCCAGAGACAGGCAAGTGAAGACAAACCGAGGTATCACTCTGACTGCAAGCCAGTGGTACTGTGTCTGGCTGCCCTGAAGTCCTCTCTTCAAGTATTGGAAGGTATTTTCCGAGATGAAGAGGAGCTGGAGAAACTCTATTGAGATAAGATGTCATGAACTTTAGCCCACTTTTTTTTATTTCATGGAGGATGGCCCCCAGAAGACAGCTCTCGGGCCAGGCATTCCTTGAAGGAGGCACACTCATAAATATAGTGTGTGCCATCTCATGTTGGTTGGGCCATTTGGGCTCAGTAGCAGAGGCACAAACTAGCATTAATTTTCCACAGCATGTTCAGCAGATAGTTTCTGTGAGGTAATGTGGGGAAATGAAGCGTTAGCTTTTAGAGCCCTGTTTTTTTGAAAAGGGGAAGATTACTCTCTGTATCACCTCACATACCACCTCCCTGCGGGAATCCAGTGGGGCAGCAAGAGAGACCACCCCACAATTTAGGAGTGCTCTGTGACATTGCTGCAGAACAGACTAAAGCACAGCCAGCCCACAGCGTAATAATATGGATTCGGGTTACCTTAATCTCCCCAAGCCCATAAGGCTGCAGACCAACTGAAGTCAGATGTCTCCATGGTCAGCCAGGAAGAGCTATGGAAACGTACTTTTTGGACTTCCACACTCAGAATTACACGGTCAGTGGCCTCCCTGAGGCATGAAAAGATGGAGGCCTCCTTTGTCTTCCCTGAAGGACAGACGAACATGCCAGAGCAACTCCTTTTGGGACCCATGAAGTAGACCCTGCAGCCGAGTGTCACAATAAGCATATTTTCTGGAACCGTCCATGGGACCAGCTGCGAAGCGAGCTGACCTGGCAGAAGTGATTTTTGAACCCAATAATTATCAAAATCACAGTGATTTATTACACTTCTCAGCAAAGGTCAACAGAGGATATTTTCCTACTTTGAAACCCAGGTGAGAGCCTCAGAGCAACTCAGGAACCTCTTGTGTACAAATCCTGGAAAAGGTAATGCATAAAGACCTCCTGGGCCACTGAGCACCTGAGGCTGATGTTGAGGAAAGGTGAGGGTTGTGTTTTAATTGAGCTAATCTCCCCTTCAGATGCGAGAAGAGGCGTCTGGGAGGCCCAATTGTATCAGAGAAGAGGCTGGCACTGCAGTCGTGCTCCTGCAAGGAGGGTTTGGCTTTTAACAAGTTGGCTCTGAGAACCAAGGAAGAGAGGATGGAAAGAGCTTTACTGAGCATCTCCAGCATGATCCAAGGTGAGGGTTGTGTTTTAATTGAGCTAATCTCCCCTTCAGATGCGAGAAGAGGCGTCTGGGAGGCCCAATTGTATCAGAGAAGAGGCTGGCACTGCAGTCGTGCTCCTGCAAGGAGGGTTTGGCTTTTAACAAGTTGGCTCTGAGAACCAAGGAAGAGAGGATGGAAAGAGCTTTACTGAGCATCTCCAGCATGATCCAGTAGTATCTGCTGATGCTGATGCTGCCACCCGGTGCTTTTCATTTGGGGATCAAGCGGCAATGCCCCTGGAAGAAGATCAAAGATCGAAGTGCTTTCTTTAATTATTACAGGCCAGGAGATTACCAGATTACTGGGATCATAACGACTGCAAATTCTATATTTCGGCCATATGATTTCTACAGTTCTCCCTCCAGCAATATTCTCGTGTAAGTAATGGTGACTGGTGCCACATTTTCCAACTTTCTCATGGCAAAAGGGAGACTTCTCTTATATGGTTCTAGAGAATCATGTACTTCCCCCTCTCCTGCAGGTTTCCCTTAATAAGCCAGGTTCTGGGGGTGGTTCATAAATGCAGAGGTACCTCTCGTTATTTTGTGGCTACTTTTTCAAATGTGGCCAGTTCTCTGAGTAACTGAGGAGGGGCTCCAGCCCTTTTTAGCCTTCCCCACCCCCAAAGTTTATTTGCACTTTTATTATGTTTCTATGGACACTCGCCCTCTGAGTTTCAGATGAACAAATGATAGGTGAATTGACTGCTGAAATAGTATCTTGTGTAACTAAAAATCATTGTGACCTCTGTAATGTATTTCAGCTCCTGAAAGTGATTGTTTTGGAAAAGCTGGTTTTTAGAAAAGCAAATGGTTATTAGGATTTTTTTTTCACTTTTTTTTCTGTTGAGTTGATTGATCTTCTTTGCAGGTGGGGTTTGGAGCACAAATTTATGCCCAGTCGTATTCTGAACTTTTCTCTTCTTTAAATGTTAGCATTAAGGTGATCTTTGCCACTTGAATTTGGATTTGGGTGGAGTAGAAATATGTGCAATTCCACATGTGAGAAATGCTGGGGGATAAAAGAGGTGACTCTTTTCCTTTTACCCTAGTATTTAGTAGAACTGTATCTTAACTCTTTCCTAATTGTTAAAGAAAGGACATATCCGTTGATTAATACACTTGTTTCAGTGACGCTGCCGGCAATGCCAGGAAAAAGGCTGGAAGATTCAAGCCCCAGCAGGAGAGCCAGGGCTGTGGACACAGGTGGTCCCATATCCAGTTTATTTGGTCAGGTTGTTTCTGGGTTTGGGAGCTGCAGGGTTCCTAGATGTGTTCATTATTGTTATCTGCCATCAAGTAGCCTCACACGTATGGTGACCCCATGAATGAGTGGCCTCCAAAATGTCACATCATTAGCAGCTCTGCTTAGCACTCTGAACGTCAAACCTTTAGCGTCCTTTATGAAGCCGCACCATCTCATATTTAGTCTTCCTCTTTCTCTACCGCCTTCACTTTTTCCTAGTATTATTGGCTTTTTCATTGTTGTTTTCTCATGACATGCTCAAAGTAGGACAAACTCTGTTTCTTCATTTTTTCCCCGCTAGAGACAGTTTGGGGTTGATTTGATCAAGGACTCCCAAGTTTTGGTTATTCTGGGTTTTCGGGCTCTTTGGCCATGTTCTGAAGGTTGTTCTTACTGACGTTTCGTCAGTTTCTGTGGCCGGCATCTTCAGAGGACAGCAACCTTCAGAAGAACAACCTTCAGAACACGGCCAAAGAGCCCGAAAAAACCAGAACAACCATTAGATCCCGGCCGTGAAAGCCTTCGCAAAGACTCACAAGTTTTATTTTGAACCATTCAGGGTATCAAGAAAGCCATCTTTCAGCACTATATTATTATTCTTTAAAAAATATTCACATCAGTTTTCTTCATCATCCAATCTCAACCTTCTTCAGATTTCTTGGCTGCAGTTTCCAGTTTCTTTGATGAGTGGATGCACTGGTAATAAAAATATTTACAATTCTAATATCTGAAAATCTTTAATGTCAACATTAAAGCCACATACGTTTTCTGTAGCTCTCATCTTTATGTTCTTAATGGTCAACTGCATTTATTTGAAGCATTTTATTTATTCATTTTCATTGGCGTATGTTTCACGTCATTCCTGCTTTCTACCTGAATGTTTGGCATATTTTTAATTATTGAAGTTAATCCCAGCAGTATTCAATGCTCCTTGATCTAAATCCAGTCTACAGTAATTTTCATTATGAAATGAGCTGAATGAATGAATGAATTGAATTGAATGAATAATTACATACCCAGCCATGAACTTCCTAAGCTTCACACTTTTCTGATGCGTTTGGTTATGGAAAGACATTCTTTTTCTCCACGCTCTGTCCTAGCATTCGGTCTTGTCCATCAGTACAATCAAGTTATTGATGAACACCCATTTTTTTCTGTTACTTCAAATAGCTTTATGAGTATTCCATCCAATCTCTGTGATTTCTTTCTTCCAAGCATTTTGAGCATGGCTTTCACTTTATATTCAGAAATTACAGCTCTTTCAATTTCAAAGAAATCTATTTGCTTTGAGGATCTTCAGTATACTGCTTTCCCCTAGTTTTTATTTCATTTTCGTGAGATGTTATGTTCTTCTGTTGATTTTTTAATATTTGTAATATAGGTTTAAATTTCCTTTTGACTTATTTGGTCTTTTAGAAGAGATCTCTTGTTTTCCCTTTTCTCTTGTACTATTTCTCTGCACTGAGTATTGTACGGGTTATCCTTACCCTATATCTATAGATTTAAGCTTTTGATCTGTCCGTAACTATTTTAAGTATTTCTTCTATTGTGTATCTGGGTTTTTCTTTTGATAAACAAAATGACTTTTATATTCTTCATTAATAATATCTCTGGTTTCTATCCATTGTAACTGTTGTTCATGATCCAGGGAGTTTAGTAAAAATTTATTTTTATGTGGAATTTGAATTCAGCAGAAATATTATTTAAATAATATTTTCTCACTATAATTATTTTATTGTTCTTTTTCAGCTTTATTCAGTTCTACATTTTGATATTAACAATTTGTGGCCAGTAGGAGAATCTGCTCCTGGTTTTGCTTTGGCTAGTATAATACAGCTATTCAATCTGCTATTTCTAATTGTCCACTTCATGGATTGCTGCCTACATAGTTTCTGTCCTGAGATATAGGAGGTGAGAGGTGAAATTACATACCCAGCCATGAACTTCCTAAGTTTTCAAGAATTTCCAGGAGGCTCAAGATGTCAATCTCTTGGAGCAAAGGCACAACATGGCCTTGTGCTCCCTGAAATTTAACTCACTCCATTCAGCAAAGATTGCAGCCTGCTTCCTTCCTTCCTGCATTTTAATCCCTAAGTGAGTCCTTATCTTATCTCAAAGATATTTCTCTTCCATGCACGAAAGGTAGTTGGGACCCATTTTTAGGCTTTTATATGCAATTTTGAATTGTTGTGAGGGTCAAATTTAGTGTGCAGTAAAAGAAAGTGGTCTTTGTTTATTTTAGTTCTTGGAATATATATATAAATAAATTTTGAATAGCTGTTACATGTCAAGTGTTAAGGTTAGGACTTCCCAATAAGTCTTATTATCGGCTTCTACCTGTTGCGTCCTGTTTGTAACAGTCTAGAAGGCACGACATTCTGGAACATCCTGCCCTTCTTGTTTGCTGTTCGTGAGATCAACGAGAAGCCAACCCTTTTAGCCAATGTCACTCTGGGCTACAACATCTACGAGAATCATTTCAATGCAAGGATAACTTCTGAGGCTTTGGTGGACCTGCTGTCTGTGGGGCAGCAGCATGTTCCAAACTACCTCTGTGGGAAGCAGAATGGCTTGTCAGTGGTTCTGGAAGGGGCCGACTCAGAAATCTCCAACCAGATTTCAACAATATTGGACATCTACAAGATCCCACAGGTATGAAAGGAGTGGAGGGTGAGTCTCCTTCTAGTTTTTAAAATCTCTATACAGTGGTGCCTCGCAGAACGGGCGCCTCGTAGAGCAATGAGTTCGCTCTACGAGGCCGTTTCTGAGATCGCAAATGCGATCGCAACATGGTGCCCGTATAGGCGGGAAATCGCAGAGCGAAGGT